TCTCATACAAAACAGCTCAATTAGTATGAAACGTACATCAATCAGGAGGCTGAGGCGACATGGATCAGGAAAGACTGAAAAGGAAAGACCCGAACGAGTAGCATGCGCTAGTGCTTTGCCACAATCTAATCCATTTCATTGATTCGACGATCCATCGGCAAATCAAACATGACGAAGTTCTTTCTGGAAAACAAAACATATGTAACGAAGACCACATGCATTCAGGCACCACATATAATGCTCCCACTCAAACCAAGCATACTTAGAAGGAAACTAAATCTCATTTTCCGGCAAACCTATTCTAATAAATATGCCCATATACCAACTCAAACAAGCATTGGTGTACAAGCGTTACAAAACAACAAACTAAATTGAGTTGACGTTCTAAATTTCGTCTATTTAGGATTTTTTCATGAAAGTTAAGAGACAGTCTCGACCGCCCAATCTTTTCAAAAAATGGCAAACCTTCAGTGAGATTTCTGCGGATTCTTAAAGCACTGAGATTTTTGAAGTTGTTCAAAGCTGTTTGCATGAAATCGTTCCGATTAAGGGCAAAAGGAGTTTTCTATATCAGAAGCGGAAGATAATTTCACATGTTCTAATCAAAACCTCGCAGAATTCTCATATTCTAGGAGATACGAAGAGACTGTAATAATCAGTGATAGGTCAACAGCTGAGTAAATTTGTATTCCGAAATTGTAAAAACTGGTTGCATCTCCATTTTATCAACAAATCTGCACAAAAATTTGGTCGTACTGATTTCTAGTGAAGGGTGACACTTTATCAATACTTTGTAAATTACTAAGTTACTCCGCTTCGAAACTTTGCTCTTATAGTCAAATATTTATAACTGGGCGCCTTAAGATCGTCCAATTATACCATTTTGCAAAAGGGCCCACCAATGTAGAGCTGTCCTAAAATAGAAATCTTCCAAACCTTGAGATGAAAGGTGATAGCGCTTTTATGCACAACGTAAGCATGCTCGTAAATCACAACTCAACCAATTTTTCATTGCACTTATCCAGTCTCAATTGCGACAGCAAATATTCTCACCTCTTCCTAAACCGCAAAGCCGGATAGAGCGCAACATAGGTACGTGGTACGAGTCCAACTTCGTTATGTCCAATGCGTTCACATGTCCACCAGTTCTAGAAAGAAAAATCCTAATGATACTGTTATGACATCAGGACGTTAGAGGTATACCTTCTCCTTATCATCTTTGCTGATCACTCTCAACTCATCTCCGGCTTTAAAAGACAGTTCATCGGCAAACTGTGCATCGTAGTCGTAGGCAGCGTAGACCTAGAAAAGTGAGCATTCGCGAAAGTGCAGAAAACCATCGACTGGTATATCAGGTCGTTCCGGAAGTAATGTCGCTTTTTTCAAATGAACG